AGCACATGGCGGCGGTGCGGTCGCATTTGCAGATGAACATCTCGCACTCGTTGTTGCTGCCTGCAGGAGAGAGAAGGAGCGGTCAGGCTCGCAGCTCCTTCTGCAGCCACTGCAGTACCTCAGGCGGGCGTTTGTGCTGCCGGGGCACAGCCCTCTCACCGCTGCCGTCGTTTTGGGGGGGTGAGCTCAAAACTGGCCCTCTGGCCACAGAGCTGTGTGCTGCGGCCCAGCCATCTCCTTCCTCTCCTTTCCTGCAGGTGCGTTGCCAGCCTATCTACTGTTTATCCTCATTACAGTGCCCTATGAAAGCTCCAACCTTACATTAGGGATGTAACTTCCCAGTTAGGACGCTGATCTCTTAAATATTGCCATTAAAGGGACTCCCAGAAAAGTGCCACTCAATCCCCTGAAAAGAGGACAAGTTTCCCTACGTACTGATGCCATATATCTTCATAAACTTAAAATTGTGTGGTGGATGAACCATATTCACCCCAGTGCCTGTGTGGGTGCCCCATGTCTAACAACCAACCCACTGCCAGGGACTTGCCCAGCGCCATCATGCCACAGAAGCGGAGGCATGGAGAAAAGAGAAGAATGGCTGGAGTAACGTTTGAAGTGGAGTGACATGGAAGTGGACATACTTTTACATGTAATCTGCCCTTCGGAACAGCTGAAGCTGTATGAGTTTGTGTAGGGGTTGTTCACAAGGAATCTGCATGATTCTAGCTTCTTTGCCTGCGAGTAGCAGTTATCGTGTGTTTGACAGCACCTAGAAAACAAGGAGGGAAGGGTCAGAAAATACCAGAAATGCAAACTTAACTGAACTGTAAGACACTAAATACACTAATACTGGTTTGACAAGGCATTGAACACAAAAAAAAAAGATACTCATTGGTAGGAGGGCAGATACAAACGACCTCAAAGGGACACGGTTCTGCCAGCTAATGCTCCAGAAGGTGTCTGGTACACATCTACTTAGTGGAGCATCTTCAGAGCTGTTTGTTGGGCACTAGGAAAGCAAAAGCCAGAATTTACCCTACATGCCCTGTCAGTGCCAGGTCACTGAAGGGCTGACAGCCAACACAGTTCACCACGTCCTGGCCATCAGACTTGTGTGATCTCTAAACTGCCTACGCTGCTTCTTAGTGTTTTACAGCTCAGCCCTGCATGTGTTGGTTGTTGTGCATGGAGCAGTGGGAGCAGAGCTGCATCGAGGCTCCTGGCACAGCACCGCTGCAGAAAAAAGAGCTAGAATAAGTGCAGCATAGCTGCCACAGAAAACAGAGTTATTAGGATTATATTTTATCTTAATAATATGGCATCAAGGTGTGAGACTACACATCCTTTTTTCCTTGAATCCGTCTTCAGGAGAGAGCTTCATTCACATCAGCCAGAATTGTGTGTACATCTATAGGCAGGGCCAGAACCATGCAAGCGCAAGCAAGGAAAGAGGTTTGTAAAAGCAGAGTCTTACAAACCTGTCAAGGTCATCCACCGGTGTCCCGCTGCCTCCCAAGCCGCAGTAGCAGCCATAGTCAGCATATTCCAGCAGGGGATAGCTGTTCGGCATGGTGCACTTGATCATGTTGCGGAACTGCCACACGGCCCGGGATAAGCCGGCACCGCTGGCTGCACCCACTGGGAAGAGACACAAAGGTTAGAGTGAGGAATGGTGTTACCAGTCCCGGTGAGCACCACCTACACACCAGACACCACGAGGAGCAGGACCAGGGACTTCATTCTTGGAGGACTTGATGGAGAGGCTGGTGCTGAAGAAAGCTGGCTTTTTATACAAGCAGCTCACCTTGACATGGGTGTGAGATAAACAAGCCACTATTTATGTTACTAAATGCAGACTTCTTCCATTGTAAGGCTGTGGACATCAGGTTGTGACATGACCAGTTGAAGGCCAGGGTAGTTAAATCTGTGAACGCCAAGAAGGCAAATATTTGCTCTCTGGGTTCTTGCTATCAAATTCTTTTGATGCTACTATTAGCAGTCAGCCTGAAAGATCTGGACATTTTTAAGGACTCTCTACTAAAAAATAGTAGCAGTGTGGTAGTTATGTTGGAAATTGCTTGCACACCGTTAACAATCCTGCTAATACTGGCATCTTCTTTTATGGTAACCCACTTAATCAGTTAATACTGTATTTCTCCATGGATTCTCCTTGCCTAATTCAGAGAGTAAAGTACAGGTCATCCACTCATCCCAAATGACTGTTTGGAATAAGCTGAACTGAAAAAAAAAACCCTTTTTTTTTACCTTGGAAACCATAGAGGAGAAGGAGGTACTACTAGGCATGAAACAGGAACCAGGCAACCCAGAAAGCATCTGTGTCTTGCTTAAACAAGGAGTAGTGCCTGGGTTTGCATGACCCTAGCAGAATTACACTGGAAATGAACTGGGCTTAGAAGTTTCAACACATGCAGTGGACTCAGTATCTTAGAGACAACAGTTTCTCCATCATCAACGCAGAACGCCGTCAGGCCCTTTGGTTCTCTATGCCAAGGCATGAGGCAAGTTGGGAACTTTGAAAGATCAAAAAATGGGTAAGAAAAAGCTTTCTGGAGTCAGCTGGGGGCAAGCCCAAATACCGCACTTGTATTTAGACCCCAGAGGATCTAACACTGTCAGGGCTACAGGCTTGGCATTTTCGCACACTCAAGATACAGATCCTAGACAGCTCACTTGATAGCGCCAAAAACGCCTTCCATTTTTAGTAGCAGAGGAAGAGGCAAAGCCCACATTTCCACAACAGCCTAATAAACCAGAGTGCTTTTTCTGGAGACTTAGGGTTCACCACCCTTCAGTAGGTTCAAATGGGTGTTTCTCTAAGTGTTGATGAGGCCATCTTCCCCCTTATAGGGTCTGAAACTGTGCCAGGGTGCCCATAGGATGTTGACATATCCATAGGACATCTAGTTAAAGCTAAAAATGCAACAATCCAACATTTTTGCTTTCTCATAAGCTCTTTTTCTCTGGGGTTCCCCATGGAGAGGTTACGTAAAGCCAAACAGATGCTGAGTTACAGTCACGATTCTCATATCCTAATAGAACACTGAGCAAACATTAAAGGCTGTGGTAAAGGACAGTCTGTATCACAGTTCAGAGAAAAGAATTTAATCTTTTGCCCACAGATCAACCTGCTGACTTTCCCTTCAGTATCCATTTAAGTGTTTTCTTTCTCCTTTGCTACTTTGGCCACCTTTACTCTTTTTAGAACTATTGTTTCTCTGTTCTCTTACCTATGAACCTTAAGACTCTGGTTCCTTTTTCCTCACTTCTCAATGTCCGATTTATTATTGATATTGCCAGAAAACTTCCAATAAACTGTTTGGTTTTTTTAAATCACGAAGCAAAAATACTGCTTTTACAGCAAAAATACTTTGTGCTGTATCTTGGCTTTCATTCATTTGAATTCAAGCAGAGTATCACCAGGTGTGGGAAAGTGGCCATGTGAGCATTACTAGACTGCCTCATGAGAAAAATCCCAGCAGGAAGAAGTTTTTTACCAATGCTATTTTTAGCTTCCACAACCTGTGCTGCATACCAAGCCTCTGGTCCTTGGTATGCTTGTGAGTACATCCCAACTTACAAGTGGTTCACAAACTTACAGGGTTGAGCCTTAAATTATTTTTAAAACTTTACTGTATTTAAGACCTGCTGTGCAGGGTTCCCTGCTATTTCACACTGTCACAATTCGCCTTCCTCTTGCAGTGTTTTCTGTTAAGGACTTTTCTTGCCTTCCCATCTCCACATTTTACTGTCTTGGATCTAGCCTCCTTGGTCCACCAAACTTCCAAGCACCACGCTAGCTTCTCCTTTCTTCAATCTACAAACATCTATACAAAATCTCTGTAACATAAAGAAGAGACACGATCTCTGTTAAAATCAGACCTGCCTCACATTATAAACTGGGCCACTGCCAAAGACTGAGAGCAGAAGAGAGTCAGAGCCCTGCCTGGGGCTTTTATCCTAATGGCAGGATGTGACTCTGACCAGGTCCAAGTTTACCTGAAATCTCCATCTGAAAATCTCCCCCCCCCAAATAATGACAGAGAAGGGCAGTTTTCAAATAATTTATTAGGAATTTAAAACTGAAATCTGGAAAAAGGGTTACAGGTGTGGAGAGAACAAACATTGGAGTGTAATAACTTACTGGCTTAAAAACACAGCTCTTATTTCTTTTAAAAAAAATGCCCACCCTGAAACCGGAGCCCCAGTCTCCAGGCAGCGGCAGCACTGGCCAGAGAGTGATCACAGCCCAGCAGCAGCACAACTGGCCTTGGATGTCTGGAGGGGGCACGGAAGCAGCTCAGCGCACCTACCAAGAGGGAGGAGAGCGCTGTCCGCAGACCCAAATTTGAAGTATATAGAATAAAAATAAACCCAATAAAATGCAGCTCTTCTTTAATTAGGAAATATTTAAAAAAACAGACATACAGACTCTTGTCTCAGTAACAAAAATTATTGCTTTGTGTTTTCAGTACTGATCTGTTACGTACCCTCTTACCTAAACAGAACTCTCCAAACACATCGCCTGGGTCAGGACAAGCTCTGGCAGACAGGGGAGGGATGGAAGAGAAGAAGGACCCTGTGGGCACAGTGGCCCTCCCAGTCCTTTCCTAAATGCCCCTCTCCCTTACAGGGGCTCAGTTTGGGGGAAGAGGGGGAATGATTTTTAAAACTTAAGATGAAGCTGTTATTTCCCTGGGAAAAGAGTTTGGCTGCATCTTAATAAAAGGCTTAATCACCCCCCTTTAACAAGGTCTTTGGTTCACTGAAATCCAGACCCAAACCTGCCCCGTGTACTCCTGCTGGAGGCCTCCCCTGGTACAGTGTTTGTTAGCAGGGGCCTGGACCACCCCAGGGGAAGCCCCGGCAGGTTCTGGAGAAGGGACCAGCTCACCCCCGGCACTGGAACGGACAAATTCCCACAGTCTTCAGAACACAGAGTAAAGCAAATGGGAAGCTGCAATTCCGTAATTCATATAATCCCTGAGAAGCCCCTTAACCCGCCCCCAAATCACCACCCTAATGCTTTTCTCCCCCATTAATGACTCCCCAGCCCAGCGCCCTGTTCAGAGAATGACCACCCAAACCTGCCCCTGGCCCTGGCTGACACCCCTTCCGATACCCTCACCTCCGGAGGAGGAGCCCCCTTCCCAGGAAATCTTGACACAAGCGATAGTGTTTGGAGAGTGAATTCCTTTCAAAGTAACCAAGACAAGCAGTGGCGGTAAAGCCCTTTACCTAAAGCCAAGCCAGAGGCTGGCACTACGGAGCCCAGTGATGGAGTCTGTACATCGAGCAATTGGAAGCAGCTTTAACCCGCTCAGCAAAACAGCCAATGGCTGGTACGTTTCACCCCCCACCCCCCCTTTCATCTCAACAGAGGTCTTAAAATCTTACAGTAAAAGGTGTACAAAAAAAGAACGGAGTCCTGTCAGGATTCTGCTGGAGTATTGCTCACGCTGCGGCACCAAGTCCAGGACCTGGAGCTGCTCCTGGGAGCCAGGCTGCAGGCAGCAGCCAGGTTCAGCTCACGATATTTACATATTATACAGGAGGAAAAAGAAAACCCCACATAAAACTAAACCTAAGGGAAAAAAAAAAACAAACCCCAACCTCTTTCAGCTGTAAGGATAGTGTTTTTCACTTAGCAAAATATACATTTGTTTTGTTCCATAGTGATGTCCAACGTTTTCGGATCCTTGGAGTTTCACACTTTTCAAAGCCTCACATTTACAAAACAGAAACAATTAAAAACAGTTTCTTTAAAAAAAAATAGAAATACAGCAGTTCCTCTCAGCCTTTGCTCTCTGTCTCTTTCTTCCCTTCAGAACTGCATTCTTGTTACATACCGTGCTTTAAAAACACTGACGACAACAACAGAGTTGAAAATATTCAAAACAGTTTCAAAGCCAAATAAAAATACTCCTCAATAAAAACTACCTAACACAATCACAAAGCCAATTCATAAAATATGTCTACTAGCTCGGGAAAGAGCAAACAACAAAAAGAAGGGGTAAGGCCCCCCCTCCCCCAAAGATAAAAAAATAAAATAAAAAAATAAAACTAACCACTAATAAAATAAATAAAAGAAGAATCAGTGGGCTGGGGGCAGGGAGGGGGAAGCGTAAACCGTCGGTGGTTAGTAAGAAAGCGAGATGATCTCCTCGGGTTCAGTCCAGTGTGGTCTGGTCAAGGGCAGAGATCAGGGCAGGGCGGCAGGAGCCTGGCAGCCAGCCGGCAGTGTGCAGTTTGATTCAAGAAAAAGGTAACCTTGGCTCATCCCCCGAGGCTCACCACATCCTCCAGCCGCTCACTGTCCTCGGTTAGGTCACTGGGGAATCTGCGGGACACAGCAGGGGAGGGAAGGGACAGGATCTAGAACAATCAACAGCTTTTCTCTTGGGGTTTTCTCCTGGTGTGATCTAACAGAAACACTCAAGTACCCAAACCTGCCCCAGCGCAGGCTTGCCCTGCATCGTGTGGGCACAGAGATGCGGCACAGCAGAGGTGCTTCCACCTTTAATGACACGCCGCACAGCCTGCCTGGGCCTGTGGCACTGCTGGCCCCTGGGAGGCCTGTGACATGCCAGGGTCCAGCCGCTTCTCCAGCACTCCTGGAGCATCCTGTCGGGACACTGCTCCCTGCAAGGTTTTGCCCTCCTTATTGAAAAGCTGGTGAGGGGGGTTAATTCATTTTAAGCCAGCTAACTTCAACCATGTTTGCAAAGCAAATGGAGACCATCCCACCAGTTCCCTCTGAAGCCCATCTGAGGACCAGAAATAGAACTGATTAGACTCAGGTTTTTCTTCTGCCCTTCTCCTAAGCAGGAGAGGAAAAACCACAATCCCACCTCAATCCCGAGAGACAGTGATCTCAGCAGCAGTGAGAACAAGCTGCATAAAGGAGGCTTCCCCAGCCATGCAGGTGAGCCAAGCTTATCCCCCAGGATCACTACTGGGTTATGATTCTGGCCAGCCCCTCCAGACCTTTCCTCTTTCAGTGCTCCTGTTTCCATCCTCTTTGCACCCAGACTAAGTGACCTCTCTGCAGCACTCCCAGCCTGAGAAACATAAAGCAGGAACTCAACCTACAAGCCGTTGATGCAGAAGGGAGCCCCAGGCTGGCCACAGGACTCCTCCTGCAGGCTGGGTCAGGCCAGCAAACATCACAGCAGCATTCAGAGTGCCCAAGCACAGGGGCCAGCTCAGAACTTCTCTCATTACCCGTTCCTGTTCAAAGCTCTCTTACCTCCTGCCTCCTTGGTCCCCAGCTTCAGTGATACCCATTGGTAAAAGCTGTTGCAATCAAGGGACCCTGTGAAAAGAGAGTTAAAACCCCACTCTTAAAAAGTGAAGAATTACTACCACAACAAATGCAGTTATGCTGGGAAAGCTGCTTTCAGTTGGAGGTGCCGCATCTAAAGAGTGCATCACCTTGCAGGACACTGCATCAGGGCCAAGATGAGCTCTTGGAAAGTCTGGGACAGATCAGGGAAAGGTCTGGAAATGAGGACCTTCAATGGTCAGGGAAAGCCAGCGGAGACCAGGGACACGAGCTTCAAGCGAACTGCTGCATTCTGCACTGTCCATCTGTGCCCTGGGCTCAGCAGTGGTATGGCCAATGCTGTGGCGGGCAGTGTTTCTTAACCAGAAAGCAGGCTGTGGGCTGAGAGCTGCCCACCTCCCTCACCACATGCAGATGCAGCCCTTTCCCTGGCCATGCCACTCTCCATCTTCCTCCCCAGATCCTGGCAGGGAACACTCACCCCTAGGCTGTGGCCAAAGCCGGTGCTCGGGGCTGGACTGGCAGCACTGATGTAACTGCTGACCCCTGAGTCCTGGTTGGCGGCTCCATAAAGCTCTGCCATCGGCCCGGGGCTGGTGGTGCCCAGAAATCCACCGGTGCGACTGGGGGTGGAGCCTACAGGAGGCAGCAGAACTACAGAGTGAAGATCCCAAAAGTGCAACCCCGTTCCCACCCCCCTCCCGCAGCCCACTGCAAACCTCCGTGACCAGACACTGTGACCGGGCACTGCACTGGGGGGGAAGGTGGCAGTTACCTGTCCCTCGCACCACGGCCGCCGCAGCCGCTGCTGCCGCCATTGGTCCATACGCAGTGAGGGGGATTGCTGGAAAAGAAGGAACAGGCACCTCAGGGGCACTGTGGCTATGGGGAAAACTCCTCAACAGGAGCCTTCAGCTCCTGATGCAAAATACCAGGCCCACGCAGACGTACTGGCTTAGTGCATCACACAGACATCAAAGGATGACAATAGGGAAGTGCACACATTGCATTTATTGGTATCCTTCTGCACAGTGAATGTCCTGGGGAACTCGCTGGCCGTGCTCTGCTAAGCCCACACCCTAGTGCAGATGAGGGCGCGATGTGGGAGAGCTGAACCAAAACTGGGTAAGTTCAGATGTATCCTGTCACTACTTAGCTTGTGAGATGCAGTTAATCTGAATCTACAGATCCAGATTTTGACTGTAAAGGTGGAGAAAGGCAGCTGTTCAGGGACTGCAGCTGACAGCTCAGTGTCCCAAGGCTCAGCCCCGCCTCTCCATCCCTTGGTAGTATTCCTGAATAATAGTTTCATAGCCTCTTTCTCCTGATTTCTCTGCTCAAGACACACCCTCCTCTGAGTTTTGCTCCTGAACTGTTCAAACCCTTGCTGTTCATTGTAGAAGAAAAGGAAACATATACCTAGGGAGCAGGAACTAAAAATGGCTTAATTGAAACAGTAAGTCTTAATTTATATGTAGCAGTTCTAATTCCCAACTCTACTGCCGCAGGCATCCAGCCCTCAGGGCAGGAGGCATCTAGCCAGTATGTTTCTCTTTGCCCTTAAAATGACTGGGTCAGCATTTCATGCTTGAATGTGAAATTCACTGTGATGCTGTTTAGAGCACCATAAAAAGAGGTCAGAACAAATCAATCGCGTTAAGGCTGAAACTCAGACTAGCTTAGGAGGAAATATTTAGTAGCAGGCACCAGCCTGTTTCAAGCCAGCGTCATAGGAGGCTTATATCTGGGTTAGCTGCTCATTACAGGCCCTGGGCCAACGTGAGCATGTTGCTGCTTCATATCACCCCCAAAGATGCTGTTCCATGGAGGAAAGGCTGCTGACAGCCACCCTCCGGCCTCATCATTGCTTCAAGTCCCTGACACACAGCTAAATTAATGTGGCCAGACCTTCCCAAAAAGACTCCAGTTCCTTTTTCCAAGTAAAACCCCTTCTTGCCTTTGCAGTCTATCTACTGAGACACCAGGTTTGTGTTGCAACGACAAAGCACCTGCATGCGAGCTCCCTGTGTGCTGGAGCAATCATCCCTGCTTGTGCCAGCCCTCATCCCAGTTCCACTTGCCAAGCCCATGAAGCGCAGTCCATTGACGCGCACGCACCCACTTGAAGGCACAAGGGCCCTCGAGCACTGCACAGCTCGAGGCCTTTGTAGGAGCAAAGGGGGCCCTGCCCTTCGTGGGACCAACTCCAGCCTATACATGGGAATCGCAGCTCTGTGCCTGGCTAAGAGGCTGCACAGGGGCTGTTTAACAGTAGGTAAGCGTAGTGGGAAGGGAAGAATGCCACGATCCCCAGCTGGTACTTCAGCAGACACTCAGGACTGTAAGCTAACGTGGCAACCAGCCAGGACAGCAGCATTAATAACTTCTTGTTGTAGAGAGCCCTGGTGCACCCCAGCCACTGGTGACAGCCAGGCCCTGGGCAATTCACCTCTGCTGGGAAAAGCCACAGTGCAGGGGTGGGCCCTGGAGGGAAAAGAACTTTTGCCAAGTGGCCAAAATTCCTCTCTAGATTTTATGGGTTTTGCTTGAAAAACACGTGTAAATAATCAACTGGATCCACATCTCCTTTGCTTGGCAACCAAAAGGCTCAGAGGTTGGGGTAAGGTGCTTATGCAGTCAGGGAAGGGTTTCATGAAGAGTGAGATAGGATTTAGTCTCCCCCAGCCTTCATCAGGGACATTTCTTCATTGGTGGCTGCCAACCTCAGCATCCTCAGGAACAGAATCCCTGAGGATCAAGATGATTCTGTGCCACAGAAACTCCCTTTCAAGCCTGTTTGTACCACTGATTCCAGGAGAGCTTCCCAGGAAGCTTTTCCACACCCTCATTGCAGAGAGATTCAAACCCTGAAACAGGTGGGGGCAAGGAAGCACCGGGAGGGGCAACACCATGGAGATGAGATGGCACACAGGGAGCAGAGTGCTACATGAAGCTGCTTTTCTACAACAAAAACCATGGACAGGACAGAGCTGGGGAAAACGTGGCCATGGAAGGGAGAGCAGACAGAAGGAGCATCACCTAGGGAGAGCACACTGCACACAACCCAGGGTCCAGAGGGTATCTGCACTGTGAGGACACTGAGCCAGGACTAGTCTCTGAGGAATGTTTGTCTGCCCCCATTTCATTCCGCAGTTCCCTGTAAGTACTGCAGGACTTGTGTACCATGCTTGCTTCTGCTTGGGAAGCTTATGTGGGAGTAGCTGGGGAGCTGCACCACCCAGAGAATGGAAAGCATTGCCTGCAGTCCCTCCTGCACAAGGAAATGGGATTAGAGCAACCAGGAGTGCCCCCACGCCCTCTCCCTCCTCCCAGCACTCTGAATCTCGTCCTTGCAGCAGCTCAGGTTAAGGTCATTTGTAGACCTCTGAGAAGTCACCCTGCTCTCTGCAGTTTTCTGTATCTGGTTTACACCCAGCCTGGGGCAAGGAGCTAAAAACAAGGCAAGCAGCAGGAAATGCAATCTAAGGATTACAGGCCTTCATTTGGTATGACCTGCATTGCCCTTCTCAGAGGCAATACACATGGCTCTGATTGCCTCTCCATCTTCCCAGCCCCAGCTTTGAATGGAGCTCATACAGATGGCAGAGGAAATAAGGAATGTTTCCAGTCTAACTGCACCAGGCTGTGGAGCAGCAACACCACTGGAACAGCCCAAAGACCCCTTCTCCCCTTCCAGGTTGTGAGTGTAGGAAATGAGCGGGACTGACCTGTGAGCTCAGGGAGGACGGGGGCACTCGGGAGAGGGGTCCGCTCTACACGGAACTCTAAAAACAAAATGCAACACAGCTTAGGAACTCAGCAATGCCCCGAGGGAGACCCCACAGAGAGACAACAGCCAGGGTCTGCTGGGGGAGCAGCCTGTAACCAGGCCAGGGTCTCCTTTAAACTGATTTACAACTGTGCTGAAAGGTGCTGGACTCCTGCCCTGGAGACTGAAAGGATCCATTTATCCTTAGAATAAACCTCGCTAAGGCAGGGTGAGTTCAAGCTCCACTGTGCAGCCTCAGGTCTGCCCCAGAACACTGCTGTGTCACCCACCCGATCTGACCTCCCGGCTGCAATGCCAGTGGGTGCTCGGTACGTGCCACACTCATCTGGGCATGGGTTTACAATAAGGCACTTGAAGCCACTACAGCTGAGGCCCATAAACTGGATTCATGGAGAGCTTCCAGACAGCTAGGAGGCAACAGCAACTTTCAGCTATAGTCAGCCTGGGCTTGCCTCAGGCGAAAAGTATACTTCCCATTCCCAGCCTCTAACATCAAGACTTCATGTATAAACCATCACACTGAGGGATGGATAAGGAAGGGATGCTCAGAGTTGCCACTTCTCTAGAAAACAGCAAGACAAGTCTTTTCTCTGAATGTGCTCTGCCTCATTCTCCTGTCTCACAGAGAATGGGAGGGAGAAGAGGCCTCAGAAAACTCTGAGCAGCTGCGGCACAGCAGGTTCCAGCCATTGATCGCAGAATCCATGTTCCGAGCACATGGCAGTGTTTGGAGCTTGGAACCACCCGGTTTGTGGGGGATCTGCAGCCCCCTGCCCCAGCAGATGCTTTCTGGAAGCTGGGAGTTGTCCAGACACTGTTCATAACCCAACTGTAGGCTGTGTTTTGGGTGCCTGGGAGTTCCCTGGCCCATGGAAAGCCATGGTTTAAAATTCTGTGCTACTTTGAGAGTGGTGGCAACTCTGGTAAAGAGAGACAGAGACACACAAAGGCAGCGAGACAGGCAGAGCTGCAGGGGCCCTTCTGTGTCACAGCAGCAGCCCTACGGGGGGGGGGCTAATGTAAGGGGCATCAGAGCAGCTTTGGGCTTTTCCTGCCACTGGAGTGTGAGGATAATCCTAATGAAGGACAGGCTGTTCCCACCTATTCCAGGGCTTCTCCCCTCCCCCTTCCACATCCGTCTCCAATTTAAAGAAAGACCAAACAGGGGAAAGGGTGAAGGGGGCAGAGCCCGGGTCACAGATCATTCCAGGGACTCCCATCACCTGAAGGCAGACCAAAAACCAGAGCAGGAGCACCACTCACCAGGGAACTGGTAAGTGTAGCCAGGTGCAATGCCAGTGTAACTCCGACTCGCATAGGTGGCAGCTTGGAAGCCTGGATAACCTGGGAGAAGAGAAAAGGGCTGTTACTGCAAGCTTGGAGAGACCATGTCCTCAGTGTCTGGCTGCTCACAGGCAGCGTGACCATTAGTGTTAAAAAGCACAAACAGGGTTAATAACAGAAAGCTCAGGAAACAGCTGGGCAGATGCACAACGCATGCGAGCCTGCAGAAGAGTTTTAGCAGGCCCATTCCATTTTTTCCTCACTCCAAACATGTAAGGACATGGAGATTTTCCTTCTCTCAAACTCGCAGCTCTGCAGATTAAGGCTTTCTGATGCATCAGCTGGATTTAGGAGGAGATCGGGGAGGTGGGGCATTTGAAGAGCTGAATAGCTCTGAGTCACTTTGCAGTAGAAGTGCTGGTGAATGCAGGCAGAGTGCTCCTGCCTGGCTGCGTGGCACCAGGCGGGAGGACAATACCTGCTGTTCCCCAGGAAGCTGACCACCTATCCAGAGCAAGCCTGGGAGAACCAGGGCATTGACTCAGAGATGAATATTTGATCTGAGATCTCCCCAGACATGAGTACGTGGATTTCCCAGTGACTCAGCTTGAGCCTTGCTGCTTTAAAATTCAGATGGCTTAGGAAAGGCAAACCCCAAAACCACAGGCTGGAGATTTATTTTCCTTCAATAAATCAAGAGAAAACATTGGGGAAAAAATGCCCCTTTTGGGGTTTTGTTCAGTGACTAAGTGCTACTCAGCAGGCTTAGCAAGGAGAGCCAGGCTGAGTACACCCTGCCCAGCAACACCAGCAAACACTGTGCTCTTGGGTCAGCTCATGCCTGGCCAGAATGTGGGGAGAGCAGCCAGGAACAGCACCACGCTGGAAGGATCACGCATGAAGGTTTGTAGACCTGGAAATGGAGGCTAAAAAGGACTTCTTTTAAATTAAAAAAAAAAAAAAAAAAAAAGTCGTCTTTTACCTGAACACAATTGCCTTAGAATCATCGACAGTCACAAAACCCAGCCTGCTTGTCACCAACTTCTTACAACAGTCCCATGGTACAGCAACAGTCCCAAAGTGAGACAAAGCTTAACTAGAACTCTAAGGGTATTTTTACAGTCTTGAAACAGCAGTGAGGACATTTATATGTACCACTGTTTCAAGTGGAAACTCAGAGGCTCTTTAATCAACTGACTTATCAGAAAGTCTGTAGAAGTGGGGGAGGAAGACGCCTGGGCACAGATCATCCCACACTCGGTTCAGCTGTGCATCCTGTTCCAGCCCATGTGCTGCGGCACTGCGGGGCTGTTAACGGGCCAGCTCCGGCTGTCGCAGGGCAGCAGTGACAAGTTTGCAGTTTACTCAGGTGCCACCAGAGGGCAAGTTACGATCACAAACAGGTCCCGGCAGCCCCTCAGCGTCCCCGGCCTCGCTCCAGGCAGAGCTGCCCTTGGCCGCCCTCGGAATAAAACCTCTAAGCTGCTGCCTGGCACGACCGGGAGCTGGGAGGAGATGTGTCCTTGGGCTTACCCAGCATGCCGATCCCGAGCATGAAGGCATCCATCCCGTAAGGCATGACTCGGGATCGCCCTCGCGCCGAGCCCGTTGGGGACATCACCTCCTTCGGCTGAGCTTTTTTACACTCCACCTGCCACAAGAAAGCGAAGATCAGGCTGGGCCATGAGCACAGGCAGCTCCAGGATCTCCCTCTGCACCCACCACAGGGACCTCAAACACTGATTTTCACCTCCTGGTGCTGCCCTCGATGCTTTTCCTGGCCCTGCACCAAGACCTCAAAGACAAGTTTTCCTCATTTCTGAATGAAGGTAAAACCTGTCCCCCCACAGGCCACCAAGAGTTTCATGTAACTTCAAAACCTCCACAATTGCTCATTACAGTGAGCTCTTAAAAACTCACTATTGTGCTGGTTCACCTCCACAGTGTGAGTTTCTTTCCCAGACTGCCTGCTGCGATATCAGTCCAATTCCCCACTGCAGAGAAAGTATATTGGGTCCCATCTACCTCATACCCTTGTGCCTGTGCCACTGCCCCGCTCCATCCCATACCTCTGTCCCTTCTCCCCCAGGTTCTGCCCCAGACACTCACCATTTTGTTGTTGATCTCATGGAAGTGGATTTCACACACTTTTTCCACAATGTCTTCGCTTTCAAATGTGACAAACCCAAACCCTGAAGAAAAGGCAGAGGCAGAAGTCCTTGATCAGGTGAGAGCTCTGCACAGTTTGCACCCACTACCCACATCCTTTTACTGGCAGGAGAAGAGGAGGATGGTACAATCAGCCCTTTCTAAAACAGCTGCCACTCATCTTCCCTCTCCTCATCCTGCTTTTATGCACAAGAACAGGACCGATCCCTTGCAGATTCCCCTTTCCTCCTCCTCCTCATCATCATTCACACCTTCTCCGAACCCAGCTGCTCTCAAAATCAAGCTTTTGGGTTTAGTTGGTTTTGCTAACTTTGCTGTTTGAAGGCAAACCACATGGCTGATAACGCTGGGGAGGATCCACTCACACAAAGAGTCGGTGGGGAAATGAACAGCTGCTTGCCAGGGCATCACCATCCCTGCTAAACACACCCCACCAGCAGCAACACCCTGCACGTTTCCTCGGCAGTCACTGGCCATAAAGCCTTGTATAAGCAGACAAATATCAGCACTGCAGTTGTACAGAGCAAGTCAGATACAAGCAAAGAGATCTGCAGCTTCACCAAAGCGAGGGCAGTATCTGGGGTAAGACAGGACAGCGTGTTCCTGGCTGCTGGCCCACGCTCACACCTCCTTTCTCTCACCAGCCCCTCTACTGACATTTCTGGCAAAGCCCAGCTCGGGTGCTCAGACTAAACTGCTCTCAGCTGACGGCAGGGCTTCCGGAAAACTGAGGCAGGTGGGAGGATGTCTTTAAACTTGCTTTACAAGCAAGCTGGGATTAAGCAGAGCTTTCCGCTTCCAAGAGTTGGCCAACTCCGTGGTGCTTTAAAATAACTTTTTAAAAGACAGGGATCCGCTGCCCAGAACCCCACTTTTTCTCCATACTCTCCATAAACTCCTCTGTCTGCCTGTGCCCAGGTAGTTTCACACCATTCATGAGCAGAAGAGATCAGGAATTCAAGAGCAAAACCCTGAATCCAAAACTAGTCCTAAACCGCATCAGACCCCCACCAGCCTTGTTGCATCCTAGGCAGAGCCCCTCGCTGCCAACACAGTGGCTGGCAGCAATCCCTGCTCCTTCCAAAATGCCCAACAGCTCTTTAATTGGACTAGTGACTGGGAGGCACCCATGGAGGAACAGGGGTTAACACTTCTTCCCTTTTCAGATGAAGCTGCAAACATGTCAGAGGACAGGCAATCAGATTAGATTTAATGTCTTTAGAAAAAAAGCAAAAACCTGAAGGGCACACAATGTAGCAAGAGCAGAAGGGAGCGTTCCCTCGCTCATCCAGGGGCAAAGGTGCTTGGAAGCGCTTCAAACACCACACAGACATGAATGAGAGTGGCCAGCACAGGGCTGTTACTGGCCCCAATTTCGAGGACGCTCAAGCTAAGTTTGCAGGTTACGTTGTTGCCAGTAAATCTCAGAGCTGGTACAATGCTTGTGTGGAGCTCTGCCCTGTCACAGGGTAGTCGGTGTGAAGACTCGGCAGGAACGCGGGAGGTCGGGATGCCCATGGGTGGGCTGGGTTTGACCAGGGCAAATACTACAGCTTTGCTCCCATCCTGTAACCAGACTCCTCCAGCAAGACTCGGGTAAGAAAAGGTGACCTGGGAGCAGAAGCGGGCTGCGGGCCGAGGAAGGGGCGAGGAGCAGGCACTCTTCAGGCTCTCGTGTCAGCTTTCCCCGAGCTCGGATTACTCGGCACAAGGTAAGACACACACTGCGGGCTGGAGCCATGGAGGTAAGCGGGCAGGGGAGGGGGCCGTCTCCTCTCACATATCTGCAACTCGGCGAGTTTACAGCACAGGAAGCGCACTGGACAAAAGCTCTCTGTGCTGCAGGGACGCTGGTAAAGGATGCAGATGCGAAAGAATGGGGCGACTGGAGGCAAGATAAAGAGCAGCTGCGACCCGCATCCCCTGCTGCGGGGATACAGACCCCTCCCTAGGCAAGGCGGGAGGCAAACCCTCCCAGTTACCTCTCCTACAGCCAGAGGAACCCCTCTCACCTCGGTGCCTGTTAGTTGTCTTGTCAAACATCAGCATCGCATCGTCCACCTGCAAAGAGAAGGGCTCTGATCAGATTATTGTATTGCCACGAGCATCCTCTGACACGTTTGCACAGACCTTCCCGGGCCTCCCCAGACCTGAGGGGATTAAGATAAGACCTCCTATCTCCATGAAGGCAAAAGGATGTGCGCACACAC